GAATTTGCTTTTATTTTGAGTCATTTAATGACTTGAGTAGAAATAATATTTATTTATTTGTATTATTATTATTTTAAAGCTTTATTCTCAGTGCGAATGTCTCAAATTTCTTTTGCCTTTGCTGGACGTGCTTCTTTGGATGTTTGGACTATTTTTTGCAATGTTAACAATTTGTTGTGCAAATATTTATGCAAAACGCGAATTGAGGAAGCTCACTAACGCCGATAGCCATTTATCAAGTCGGTTGTCGGGCACACACAAAGAGATATCTACCATCCAGCTTATCCAAATAGATATAGATAGCATTGAAAGTCATTGGTCTGGAATTTCTAGACTAAACGAATAAAATTGAATGCATTTCGGTTAACCTCATATTTCAAGTAGTGCTTATCCGGATCGGAACCCAAACAATTGTCAGTTCACCTTTGTCATCGTGGCTTGGGGTTGTTCTCTCTCTCTGGCGATCGGAATTTGGAGTTCCAATATTATTCCTTTTTTTTTTTTGGAATTTTGGAAAACGAGAGGGTTGTTTGTTGAGTTGTGTGGTGTGTGCTGGGGACACACATTTATATTAGGGTCATATTTCACTTGTAGGGTTTCCAGTGAAGTTTCATTTTAATTTTATTGTTGTCGCTGCGCCCCTTTCGAGTCTTGTTTTTGTTTTGCCCGACCCGGTACTTTCTGCCATGGTTAATGGGGAGTGCGATATTCCAACATCCACCACCATGGACGACACCACCCTCTTTGCGGTCGCTTATTTTTGTAGTACTAGTACTTTCCTACTTCTTACCCTTCAGGGTAAAGACATTTCGGGGGTTTCGTGATTTCTGTGTTCTAGCATAAATACGAGTCCAATAAAATAAAATATGTCATTTCCCCTTTTCAGCTGGAAATCCCTTAGATCTTGTCAGTTGTTTTAAGATTGCGTATTTCCGTTTTGGTTTCTATCAAATATTGTGTCATGCTTAATGAATGTGAGGCTAGAGTCTGAGTCTATACTCGACTATGAACAATATGTTCTATTTTGTGGGCTAGCTGCAGCAAAAACCAATCGATTAGATTGGCTATGACTGATTGTTAGCTCTGGGGAGTGGCATAACAATACAATATTAAATAATAAATCTAAAAATAAAGGCTGTCCTTTGACATAAAAGCTTTGAAAACGATTTATTAAAGTTTCAATGTCATTTCTATGAGACTCAGGCTGAAACATTGCATAGATCCTTTATGAGTTATGTAGGATAAGTTTGTGAAGTCTAGTCTGTGGTCTATGATTCCCAAAGGTTAGATCACCTAGAAGTCTTTACTGAAATGTACTTTCATCTACCCTATTTTAGCTGCTGACTATTCTGTTTCAGTTTACCTTAGTGTTTTTGTTTAGACTTTGTCCGCTTTGTTATTTGGCCACCATTAGCCGGCCAAGTGTTGGTTTCAATTTCAGCTTAAACGCCACGAAACTAGTTTAAGACCATATTTTCTGCCTTGATTGCAATATTTCTCAAAACAGTTTCGTCTTGAAGGCAAATGGAGACAAAGCACCTGCACAGCAACCCAAATACGAAGCCGGACCAACAAAGCAAATAGGTTTGAGTCTGTTTTAAGGTGTGAATTTGCTCACCTTTCATGTTGGCCATCTTCTTTCACACTCACCCCGACTCTTGGTAATTTTTTGCATTCCAAGAATCGGTTTTTGGACATTGCTTTCTTCAAATCGTAAGTCGTCTCTTCGTTCTGCAACAAGGCATTCCCTACCGATCCCTGCTGATCGCCACAAATCAGAGGCAAGTACGTGCCGGGCATCGATAATCGCCAGAAGTCGACTGGAGACCGGCACGTCCCGATGCTTGGTCAGCTTCGGCCGATGCGTATTACAAGTATTTTGCTTTTTCGAAAATTTCCCTTTATGAGAGCCAGCAGCCTAATCATTATGCATTCCGCAGGGAAAGAGGCTCAGAGGCCCGGTGACTAATAAGCGTTTTAGCACAGAAGCCACGTACGCGACTTCATAGAGTTATTAGTGCCCTAGAAGGCGGTTGGGGGGAGGCAGAGGTTTACACCATTTGTGGTCGCCATACATCATACATATAAGATCTATGCAGTGAAATTTCCCATGGGTTCATTCGAGGAGAACAGCCACAGGCAGGGCGTTGAAATGTTTCAAAGGTTAAAAGTTCTAGGACCAGGAAACAGGCGATAATAGCAGGCGGATGAGGGAGGAATTCATTTAACCTGGGAATACGAACCAGAGTTCATATATATTTTAGCTTGTTTCAGATCGTCAGATACCCAACTAGCTAGTCGGTCTGTCTGGTAATTGAAACTATGATGAATACCCAGCGAGTGTTAATAAGCATCTCGAGCATTGCTATGTGATGGTACATCCATCCACGTCGTTCCACCGTAATTAATCAAAACAAGGCCTTGGCAGCAGACTTGGCAGCAGAATCGTCTTCCCAATCAACAGGTAGTAAAGTGCCAATACGTGCCCCATCGATACTGTGGAGATATCACTTCTCTTTCTGCAGAAAAGCGAAGGTTTTTTTTTTTTTAGCTTCATGCGTGAAAGAACGCTTGAAGTAAACTGCAAAAGTTAAATTATCCTTTCAAGCCAAAAACGGTTCAGGTTTTTTCCTCAAAAATACGTAACGTAAACAATGAAAGTCATCGCCCCGAGTGAGCTCCAAAACCCTTTGTATTTCTCGTTACAAGCTCCACTCACTGTCGAGTGAAGTTCAGGGCTCAGCATGGTCTGTGGAGCTCAAACACGATCGGAGCTCAAACAACTCTATGAGAGGCATCCAACAGATACACACCTCGATTTGAGCCGTTTTGGGAAATACTGGTTTTACCTGCAGCGAGCCATCGCCAGCAAGCCAAGTTCGCTTCAAAGATTTGCTTTCATTTTTCCGTTAAAAATAGCCCCTGGTGTGTGTGAGTATCTGTGAGGTTCGGTATCTGCTCGCGAGCACTGCAAGCACGCCAAGGTGAGTATCTGTATCTGAGAACCTGTGTATCTGTGTGTGGGGGAGATACTGGCCGTTAGTGTTAGTGATCGCAGGTAGCCGCTTTTGGCTCTCATCTTGGCTTGGGTTTTACCTCGTCTCTGCCCCTCGGGCCCACCTTGTGTGATTCTTGAGATTCTCTTCGGCTGTTATGTTAATCCACTGGCCAAATACATCCCATAGAATAGAATCCGGCCCATACACACCTGAGGACTGAGAAGCGACCCGGCCGGAGGCACACTGGCAGCTGCAGCTGCGCGCAGGTAGCCCGAAGAGGTTATTTGATTACTCAACCATTTTTTTTTTCACCGGGCCGGTGCGATTTGGGAGTCTTCAGAGCCTGCACATGTTGCCGGTGAAACCTCACGTCGGCATGTCCGGCACAAATATCTTGCCGTTTTTTTTCGCTTTTTGGAATTTAAGCCGAAACTCGAAAATTGAAAAGACATCTGTCTTATGGTGGGTTCCATTCTATCCGCCGGCATTTCCGCAAAGTATTGTTATACATACATCCCTCTTTTCAATACCAAGAAATGCCCATTTTTTCGGGAAATATAACGTTGCACTTGATAGAGCACTTGATTGATTTTAAATTTAAATATTTGATAGACCCTTGACATGTATATGAGATGAAGTTGATGCCTTCGAAAGCCTCTCAAAGACTGCTCTTCACATTCCGTTTGCCTCAGAAAAGTATCTTTTTCCCAGAATACTCAATGAAGTAGATCGAAAATGTATGGATTTCTACAAACTGTTGGAAAACATTTTCAATTATATATGATGTATTGATTTTCTATACAAACCATTAATTTTCAGCTGGAGAGGCAGCTGCTGCGAGTCCATCCATATCTAACACCGACCCTTGGGTTACCCCCTGACATATCAGTCATGCAAATCTAAATTGAAGTCTCGGTGGCGGTGATCGTAGATGCAGATACTGCATACGCTGTGGAATGCAACTGGCAGTGCACCTGCTGCGATAGATACACAATTTCCAAGGCAGTCGCCGTTTACCCATTGGATTGCTCCACTTTTGTTCATTGACTCGCACCGCAATCGATTTGTTGGAGCCGAACGAATCCAAAGGCAAACGTAACCTACTTTCCGTTGATAAGATAATGACGCTTTTCCGACGCGCGCCCACTTACAGAAGCTCCCGCCGACGACGACGACGCCTCAGTCAATGACTTACCATTTATATAAATTCCAACCATATACTTCCTGATACACACTCTTATGTAGCATCATTGTAAACATTTCCATGATCGGATCGGATCGAAAAATAGAAATAATCAAACACATCCAAGATTTGTAATTTTATTATGTTTTTTTTTTTTATTTTGACACAATTATTGTGTGGTGTGGCTTCTCGTTCTGTTTGTAAATATACAATTATATGCTATGTACTATATTTATATAAATAAAGTAATTCAGTTTTTACTGCGGTATCGCCTTGGCTTGTAAAATGCGGAAAACTCTTACAAAAATACATATCGCATTGATTTATTGAACATGATTTCTTACACAGATATGTCTCTATATGTAGGTATGTTCTATCCACAGGGCTATAACCTGGATATAGCCTTACAAGTGGATATACTCATACTCATTAATTGATTCGATTTCGATTAACTTAGGTCTAACTGGTTTATACACGTATTAGAGGACAACCCTAAGAACTTAGCTGATATTGATGGGGTGTACCGGTCTATATAAATTACGATTACAAATATATATATATATATATACTATAGCTTAAGATCTAGGGACTCTTCTTATCAAATTGAGTTCTTGTTTGATTTTGTGTTTGAATTTCTAAATGTTTTGGAAGTTTCAGATGGCTCTGAATAAAGTCTGTACTATATGCCTTTTATGATTAATTAGAACTAAACTACTAACTAGTGTTGGGAATATGTTGTGTGGGGGTGTGTGTGTGTTTATACGCAATGAAAAATGCCTTCTGTTTTCTATTCTTCCGATAGGAATATAATTCGTTCGTTTTTTTTTTTGTGGAAATTCGAATTTAATTAATACCCTAGTTGTGTGTGTTTTCGAAGCAATAACAGTTTGCAGATAATCGTGTTTTGTTCGCAGTTGCTTAGCTAGTGGCTAATATTAGTGCTAGCCTTAGTTTGTATAGTTCGTTTACGTAAGATCAAGATCACTTTTTGCATTTACAAAACAAACAACAAAAACGTGTTCCCCTGGGCCCTTGCATAGCTCCTCCGTAAAATATACTCGTATCTACTATAATGTACAGTTAACCCATATAGAAATACATATATCTCCCGACACGACCTGGGGGCCCGGCTAGGCCGGACATCCGTACCACCAATCTTACCACATAAAAAGTCTTTTCAATTACCATGTCATCGTCACTTAGACGCCTTCACGTCTAGATGCGCCAGCCCTGGTCGTCGTCCACATTGGAGTCGGTGTCCGAGGGCTCCTCGCCGTACATGTCGGCCAGCTTGCGGAAGCGCGGCCCAAAGTTGGACAGGTAGTCGAAGTTGAGATCGCCGTCGTCGGTGCAGGACGCCAGGCTGGAGAGGCTGCCGTCCGAGTTGCCGTCGCCCTCGTACGCATAGTGACGCACATCGTCCACGGTGAAGGCGCTTGCGTCCCGGTCGCAGGTCTCCTTCTTGTCGCCCAGGAAGTCGCCGATGTCCGGGATGTCGTTGAGATCGCGCATGCCCGCCTGCAGGGCATGTGGGTCCTTGTAGAGCTTCTCCTCGTAGAAGGGCTGGCTGCGCAGCACGTTCAGGTCGTAGTCGGTGTCGCGCTCGCCGCCGCCCTCGTCCTCGTAGTTGATGATCGTTTCCCGGATGTCGTCCATGTCCTTCTCGTGCCAGCCGTTCTTCTGCTTCTTCTGCACGACCACGGCCAGCAGGATGATCATCAGCAGCGCCAGGCACGCGATGATGGCAATGATGAAGTTCCTGTCGATGCCGAAGCTGAAGGCCACCGCCACGGACTGCTGGCAGCCGCTGTCGATGTTCCGGAAGTAGGAGGGCATGCCCAGGTTGTAGGTGTGCTCGTTGATGGTCAGGTTGCGGACGCACCCGAAGAATCCCTTCTGGCCAGGCACGTGGGTCCAGTTCAGCTGCCGGCCCAACTGCTCCAGCTCGACGGCACTGCCGCCCAGCTGCAGCGGAGCGTTCACGTTGAGGAACTCGTTGGGTCCCTGCGGCGCTCCCAGGCTCATGCAGGTGGACAGCTGGCAGTTGTCGACGGTCATCTCGATGCTGGCGCGCTGCAGGATGATGTCGATCTGGTAGGTGCGGTCGGGCACGATCTTGATGTGCTGGTGCCGGATGCGCGTTCCTCCCGAGCCGTAGTCCACGGTCAGCACCGGGTAGCCCTGGTCCAGTTCGAGGGCCAGGAAGTCGGACAGCGGCAGCAGGGGATTGTAGTTGAGCGGGCCGAAGTACATGATCAGGCCCTGGTCGATCTGGGGCGTGATCTCCAGGCTGATGCGTGTGTTGTCGCAGGCGGAGAAGGGCTCGTAGAAGGCGTAGCCGCTGCCGTAGAAGGCCACGGAGACGAGCTCGCAGTGGGGTCCCGTGAATCCGTCGATGCAGTCGCACACGTCGTTCTCCCCGAACCGAGGAGATCCACCGTTGAGGCACGGGGTCATCGGGGGCGCCTCGCAAACACACTGGGCCTGGACGAAGGCGTTCACGCCCACAAAGGAGGTGATGTTGGAGTAGATCATGTAGGGCACCGAGCTCTTGTGGAGCTCGTTGGTGCACGAGCTCTCGCACTTGAGCTTCTCGATCAGGCACTCGTCGATGTTGATCATCAGCATCTGGAGGCCCAGCTCGTTCTCCAGGCGCTGCTGGTTCTGGGCCACCATGCCGTTCAGCTTCTCGGGAGCGTAGTAGGGCGACCCGTGGGCGGAGTAGCGCACATCCAGGGTGTTGTTCTCGTTCTGGAGCACCGTGAACACGTCCACGTTGGCCACCGAGGTGTTGAACAGCTTGGCCAGCGAGAGCTGGAGCTGATCCTTCAGGGAGAGCGCATGGTCCTGGCTGTCGCGCGGCACACTGATGAATTCCTCCTTGGTTACGTTGATGAAGCGAATGCTGCCGCTCTTGTCCACCGCCTCCTCGGGCAGCTCGCGGATCACCACCGTGACATTGGCGTCCACCGAGTGGGTGATGATGGCGGCCGAGGATTCGGTGACCGAAAACAGGAGCGCGTACTCGCCCTCCTCGGTGTGCTTCAGCATGGTGATCATGCCGGTGTTGGGATTCAGCCGGAAGTTCTCGTGCCTGACATCGTTCTTCCACCTGAACTCCTTGTCCTCCAGGTCCCAGTCGTCCAGATCCTCGACGAAAACGCGTCCGATGTCCGTCTCCGGGGCTTCCCCGCGGAAGTTGTACACGAAAATGGTGGAGGAGCCCTCGCTCATGGCGTTGTCGTTGATGTCGCCAATCACCACGTGCAGGATGCTCACTGCGCTCTGGCGCGGCACTCCCGAGTCGCTGATCCGGATCGGGATGAAGTACTCCTTCTGCTGCTCGCGATCGAACTCGACGTTGGCGTGCAGGTAATCGTCGTTGATGCTAAACTTGCTCTTGATGTCCGAGGACGCCTCGCTGTCGATGCCGAAGGTGAAGTCACCCGCCCCGGGAGTGTCGTCGTAGTCGGTGGCCTGCAGCTTGACGATGTTGCCGGGACTGCGACCCTCCTGCCAGAAGACCGGCATCTCGTTGATGAGGAACGGGGCGTTGTCGTTGATGTCTTTCAGCGTGATGGTGACCTCCTGCACCTTCTTGAGCGTGGTGCCTACTCCGTCCTCGTCGTTGGCCTGGATCAGGACCTGCCAGTTCTTGTGGCCATTCGGTGGATCTCGGTCCAGGGTCTTGACCAGCCGCAGGCAGCCGTTGTTGTCGATGCTGAACCGCTTCTCGTCGTTCTTCACGATCGAGTAGACGATGTGCTGGTCGGCATTGCGGTCCTTGATGTCCGGATCGTACGCCTCCACGGTGAGGATGCAGTCGTCGTACATGGTCTCCTCCATGATGGTGACGCTGTAGGCCTGCTTGAACACGGGCGGGTTGTCGTTCACGTCGGCGATCTTGATGACCACTGTGGTGTAGTCATCGTAGATGCCGTCGAAGGCCCGGACCTTCAGCTCGTACTCCGTGATGGTCTCGTAGTCCAACCGCTTGTTCACCGTGATTTTGCCGGTCTTGAGGCCGATTTTGAAGGCGTCGTCTATGTTGCCGCTCTCGATGCTGTAGAGGATCTGAGCGGCGTTGTCCTTGTCCTCGGCCTTCACTTCGATCACCTCAAAGTTGGTGTTGGCGTCCTCGAGCAGCTTGTCCGCCAGGTACATGGTCTGCTGGAAGTACGGCTTGTGGTCGTTCTTGTCGCCGATGGAGATGCGGAACACCTGATGACCCCGGTTCGGCTCCCCGTTGTCGAACAGGCTGGACGGCGAGTTGTCGCTGGCTATCACCTTGACGTTGTAGAAGTCGCGCTCCTCCCGATCGAAGGTGGTCAGTGCCGTGATGTTGCCCGTATTGGGATCGATGGTGAAGTACTCCCGGTTGTCGGCCAGCTCGAAGGAGACGATGTTGTTGGCCGGCGTGCCGTCCATGTCGAAGGCGCGCACCTGCATGACGGGCGTGCCGGCCGGTTCGTTCTCCAGAATAGTGCCCGACTTGACCTCCGTGAAGTAGGGAATGTTGTCGTTGACGTCCTCCACCTTGATCTTAATCTGGTGCTCGGCGGCCAGCTCGTGGGTGTTCCGCACACTCATCGTCAGTGTGTAGTCGGTGATGGCCTCGTAGTCCAGGTGCTTGCCCAGACTGATGGTCACCTCGTTCCCAATCTGGTCGAACACGAACGTGTTCTTGCCGTTCGTCTGCTCCGTCCGGCCGGTGATCAGCTCGAAGATCACCTCCGGGTTCTCGGGCATATTGGACACAGCTTGCAGTGTAACGATGGGATGCGAAAAGTTCTTAAAGTTCTCCTTCAGATAAATCGGAACATCGTAGGGATCCACGAACGAGGGGGGCTTGTTCGAGGACTCCACCACGCGGATACGCACTTCGATCTGCGCCTCCTGCGGCAGATCAGGCACTATATTATAGGCACGTACGATTATAGCGTAAGACTGCCCTGGTCTCTTGTCGATTGGTCGATTCAGGTATATGATTCCGGACTCCTTGTCGATCTTGAAGTACTGGAAGTCGCGCTCGCGCAGTATCTCGTACTCGACAATGCTGTTGTTGCCATCGTCAAAGTCGCTGGCGCTGATAGACATCACCACGGCGTCGGGCTGCAATGGAAACATAAACATAAGGCCTCGAAAAATGAAGGGGTTATCCAGCCACTAGCCACTAGGATCTACTTTCCTTTGGGTTTGCCCAAACCAGAAAGAAACACATCCTATGCCTTTTCTAAATAGTGCTTCTAGGGCGAAGGTCTGAACTAAACTGAAGCCTTTTTGGTGAAAATTTTCTGCCGCTAACAGGGCTTTGGCTAAAAATAACTAAAGGGTTGGGTAACACAGAGGGAGAGTATTGGGGAATATTACTATTTAAGAGGAGGTTGGTACCCTTCTATAAGATTTATTATTTTGGAAATAAAACTAACCTTTTTTTTAGTTATTTCTATATTTCTATAAGTTTATTTCTATATTAAAATTTCTTCTTTTTTCAGAGACTTCTCATTGTTTTGATTTCTTCTAAAATACCCTCCTATTTTTATTAATATCCCTTAAAGTGTCTACTTTTCTTTTAATCTCTTGGACTACCCTCCGCTGTTTGCAACATGGAAATGCCCCAAATGGCCGCAAAGGCGGCGTGGGCCCTTGGCGTAGGAAAGCATTTCAAGGTTTCCAATATCGAACCGGCGAGCAATGAACCCGAAAACCCGTCTTGGCACTCTGCCTCCTACGCTGGACTGGAAACTAGTTCCGCCCAGGCACTGGCTTGCCTCAACTGGCCGCTAATTAATGTTGCAGGTAGTGTGCTTGGTACTGATGGGGCATGAAGTGCAATGAAATATTATGTGTATTGAAGGTATTTTGAGGCTAAAATGTTTAGAGTCTGTCTATGTGATTATTCAACTGGATTCCGAGTAATTAGACCTGGTGAGTATGAGCTGGCATTTCTATGAAGAAAGCTGGAATCTAGAGTGTTTATGGATGTCTGTTTTTTACTCTTCCAGCTATCTATATATCAATATATTATTATTATTTTAATTAATAACATCCATATCTAATAATCCCCTTATCCCCTCTCTTAAAAATCAAAGAAACCTCCCAAAAAACCTATCAAGTTTCTACCAAAAATTAAGAGCAGCATGACGTCACTTCTCCCTAGTCTCACTGACTTGACCAAACCGCAGTAATCCGGGGTCCGCGAGTTTGGCCCTCAGTGAGGGGATCAAATGACCGCCACCCGCCAGGAATAAGGACTCCCAACTCACCTGGGCATTTTCCGAGATGGACTCGTCGTAGCGAGCCTTGTTGAAGACCGGGGCATTGTCGTTGATGTCCTCGATGGTGACGTTGAAGGTGCAAACGTCGTCGAGAGCGGGAAGGCCATTATCCGTGGCCTGGACGGTAACGAATACGAACTTTTCGTGGATCGGTTCGTCGCGGTCAAAGGTGTGGGCAGTGACGATTACACCCGAGGTGGGGTTTATGAAGAACTTGGAGCGTTCGACGGGTGCCTGGACGATGCTGTAGCGGATCTCTTGGTCGGGATCTGGATCGACCGCCTCCACCCTGAACACGTACGTGTTCTCCGGCTGTTCCTCCTTCACCTTGGGCGCATAGCCGGCGCAGTTCTTGAAGGCGGGCTTGTGATTATCGGCAGGGGCATTGTGGAATGCGAGGGCGGGCGTGAGAGCGGTCACGAGAGCGGCCAGGAGAAGAAGTCTCGTGGGCATGTGGCCATTACTCCAATCTCGGCACTTTCGTTTGTGCTGCTGGTGCGTCTGTTGCTGGGCGGGATTAAGATCCTGGTCCGGATGGGGTCCGGTCTGTTGTTGATTCGCAGACATTCTTATGCAGTCGCTGGCGAGTCGTTGGGCGGTTGTGGACATTTCATTTACCAGCCATCCGCCATCTCCGGTGTAACAATCTTGAGCACTAGCACTTCCCAGTGATTCACCCAGTATTATCAGAAATCACTCACTCTCACACACCGGCACAACGGCGCGACTCCAGCATACACCTTTGGATTCGTTCAGTGGGCTCTGTGTTTGGTGGGTTCTGCCCTGCTATTTTCACAATTTCCCCTTTTGTTTGTTTCCAACTGTGCCTGTATGCGTGGGACTGACTAGCTAGCGCTGACGTCGACGCTGCGCCGTTTGTTTGGACTGCATTTTCATGGCAACCGCCTGCCTAACAATAATTATTATCAACGAACGGGGGGAGGGGGAATCGAAGCTTTGAATCGATGCACCACGGCGGTATGATCACGGCGTACAGTGCGCGCCAGAAGTGTAGCGACGACGACGGTATTTCCGATTTGAGCAGCTGCTGATTTGTTCACTTTTATCTTTGGCCCGTCCGCTTTGGGACTCTCCTTCTTTGGCTTTTTCACTCGCTCAGCAAACAGGTAAGACCAGGTAAAAAGTGGTTACACGCACACTAACAAAAAGGCGCGCTTGTGTGCGTCCCCGCTGCTTCAGCTATTTGCCGTGGTATGGGTGTTAGCAACTTTCCGAGAACAAGGCACTAGAACTTTACTGATTTCTTTAATCCGCAACTACTATTAGCTTATGGAGAACTGTGTTTCTTTTCTCGAATTGATTTTAAAAACAGGGTCAAATCAATTTTAGCACGAACGCGCGGGTCCCGAATTTGAAATTCTGTTGAAGCGATCGACGCGCTACGCAACCGCCGAGTTCGAGATGTAAATGTGGTGTGACCAGTTAGGGATGTGGAAAAAATGTACTCCGAATTTTCCGATAAGTTATCGGCTATCGATATAGGTTTGAGATAGTTTGGTCACACAAAGGTCAAACACTAAGGAGTACACTGAAAAATATTCTTTCCAGGATTTTTCTCTGTGAATATTGTTTCGACGAAAATAAAAACGGCATTTAACTGTGAAAAATTTAAATAGAGAAAACCGACACGATTTTCCCTCAATCGTAGAGGTGGAGAAGCATTTGGCTGAAACATGAAAAGGGAAATTCATGAACCGGGCGGGAACATTATATATTATCTATGCAGGGAAGTTTTTTGACTTTCCATTATATCTACATACAAACAAGAACTTTCAAATTAATTGCCTAAATTAATTAATTAAGTTCATAAACTGTTCTTTCATTTTCTAGTATAATATGTGGTTTTTGGAGATGACACTATTTGGGAAATTTTACTTAGCCGAGTTCACAACCACGGCCAGGTTCCTTAACACTACACCATCATCGTTTCTTGGTCCACCACTGGTATCGCCGTCATCTTCATAGCTCCATTAATTGCTGAGAAAAAATAGTCTTTTTCTGAAAAGCCGAAGAAATCGTTCAGAAAAATACATTCAATTGCCAAAGTTCGTTGTCGCACCGTAAACCCTACCAGTGCCCTGACCTGCGAGCCGATAGGTGCAACCGACCCGCAATAAGTCCAAACCAAACAACTGCCCCTGCCCCGATTTTGTGAATCACCAACCAACCAGCACAGAAATGGAACAGGCTCCGATCACCGACGCGGAGAAGGTGCGCATCGTCTCCGACTTCATCCTACACGCGCCACCCGGCGAGTTCAACGAAGTGTTCAATGATGTGCGCGAGCTCCTCAAAAACGATACCTTGCTGAAGGATGGGGCCAGCCACGCCTTCTCACAGTACAACAAGGACCAGCTGACTCCGGTCCGCATCGAGGGAAGCGAGCACAATGCCATCATATCGGAGCATAACGATCTTGGTAAGTGGATGGGACAATGCCCATAAATGGAATTCCTCTGTGTTTGCGTGATTGTGACTCATGACCCCCCGTACGAAACCGCAACTATATATGTACCTCTTTGTTGATATCTTCGACGGGTAGCCTAATACTTTTCACGCTGATAAGCTGATTGCAACTCCTATTTTTTTAGGCAACGGTCGCTTCTACGATCCGCGCACAAAGCAGGCCTTTAAATACGATCACCTCAGGAAAGAGGCTTCCGACTATCAAGACGTGGAGGCGGATGCCAATGCAGAGCCTTGGCGGGCCGCCCTGGACCTGGAGACGCTCGCGTATACTGCCAGTCACTATAGACACGGAGTGAGTGAAATGCTATTTGAGACTTATCTTACGGCTAATTCTTGCGGTTTTTTTTTGTAGGTCAGCTCGGTCTTTGGAAAGTCCCAGGGAAACCAGATTACACTAACGATTTGCATCGAAGATCACCAGTTTCAGCCAAAGAACTACTGGAACGGACGGTGGCGCTCACAGTGGCACGTTACCTTCCAGGCGGGCACTAGCACCGCCGAACTGAAAGGTGTTCTGAAGGTGCAGGTGCATTACTATGAAGACGGCAACGTGCAACTGGTGTCCTCCAAGGAGTGCCGCGAAAGCGTTGTGGTTACCAACGAGCAGCAGGTGGCCAAGGAAGTCATTCGCCTCATCGAGGAGGCAGAAAACGAGTACCAACTGGCCATCTCGGAGAATTACCAAACGATGTCCGACACAACGTTCAAGGCTATGCGCCGCCAACTGCCAATTACTAGGACCAAGATCGACTGGAGCAAGATTGTTTCGTACAGCATTGGCAAGGAGCTAAAGACGCAATAAGACCAGGAGGTGCAAGCGGAAGCAGAGGGCACACAGTCGACGAAGCGACCCAACAGTCTTCCACTTGCCACGGCCAAGCGAGCATAGATACCAGCCGAACAGCAGCATTAGCAACCCAACATCCAATCCGAAGCAGCGCGGTAAAACGAATACGAACACAAGCAGGCAGGCGAATTGGTTCCTGCAATAATAAATGTGTAATTGCTATATACATACGATCATATACATACATATATATATATACAGCGTGTATTTACAATGTGTTATACAGATAACGATGAAAGTTCATATACATAACATAACTATATATATTAACTACGACCGAAAATTATTTGGTTGCGCGAATTTGGATGATTGAAGCCTGACGGCGAACGATGCTCTGTTGCCTCGTTTGAGTCACGATCGCCACCAATTGTCGCCTTTATCGGTTAAGAAGAGCATTAAACGCGGTTTTTATCATGTACTTTGACCTATGTATTATTCTAATTTTAAACAAATCGAACACGAAATAAGATGTCTAGACGAGCAACCTACGGCAGGCCAACTGGCCTGACCAACTGTAAGAAGGCGTCGCGATTCGGGCAAGCCAATATCAGACCCTTGGAATCGAATGCCTTTACACTATTTTAAGCAGTATCATTAGTCCACGAGCACCCATCCAGTTTTCTCTAAACGCAATGATTACCCCAGATTATTTACACCAAGAAACATGAACACGAGTACGATATAAGCTTAATATTCATTGACCAACAGCAGTTCACTTTAATAACGAAAGACTTTGATTTTATAAAACAACAAATTTTTAATTTAAAGAACGTAACTATAAAACATTTAATATTGCTTGAATTAGTCAAATTTAATGAAAATAAACTAATTGAATCGGACTACTTCCTAGGTATTTCTTTGCTTAGAAAATTACTCTCGGACAGAATGGTCTATTCTATTTTCTGGGTGGGATTTTGGCTTATTGCCTCGGGCAGACCGATGTTAAGCTCTTCGGATTTTTTAAGCAGGAACCGCTTTTCTGGATTAAGCTTGGTTTCCAGCTCCAGTCGATCTATTAGCCAGCCCCGTTCCGGCTCATGTGACGCCCAAAAGTAGAGAGTTCCTGGAAAAGTAATCTTTAAGAATCTGATTAGGTTTCAGTGGGATTACTTTACCTTTGTCCTTACTGCCCCGAACGGATACCTCGAACTGTGCTTTCTCCGCGTTGCAGTTGTTATTGACATTGGACAGATCGATTCCATTGTCCTTAATGGGCTCTCCTAGTAGTGAGACCGCTCCTTTATGCTGTCGAAGCCCCTTTAGAGCAAGTTTGTAGTATTCACAGGATCGCACTCGGTCCTCCATTTTCCAGCGCATGTACATGACGGCAGATATGGAAGCCACAGCGCCATAGACGCATATGTTCCCTAGGGTGCGGTTGGAGGGCATTCGTAGTCCCACCATTGTGTGTTTCACTTATAAACTCTGGACACTTGGCTTGTGTAATATTTGTTATTGCCGGTTTTGGCTCAGAGGTGGGCATCCAGGCGATATATTTTTGTTTTGGTTTATCAGCTGTTCAGTGTGACCATATTTCGTGGGCAGACACACTTGTGCTTGGAATATTATACAACAAAACGCAGCGACTAAGTACCACTGCAATTTAAAGGATTATTTGTCAATTAAATTGAAGATTAGAGGGTTAGCAAACAAGACAAAACGATGAGTAACTTTACAGCGGTACTTAACCTGGTGAGACAGCGTTTAATAGCCCCGGCGTTGTCCAATCCTGTGCGGAGCTACGCCGTGAAACCGGCGGCGCCAGGTAAGCTTCCAAGTTTTGACCAGAACAAGCAGATGGATTTACGTCCCTTTATCCACAGCGGGAAAGAAAAAGAAGCTGGGAAAGCTGGGTCCCATTATGGAGAAGAAGATCATTCCAGTGGAGACGGATGCCAACAAGTTGGTGAACTACGTTTGCGGAAGCAACTACCTGAAGACCGGACAGGATGTCAAGGTGAGTTCGTCTAATCAGAAAGGCGTTTTCAGAGTAAAATATTTTTTTTCTAATTGAAGATCAAGCCAGATGCCGAGTATCCTGAATGGCTTTGGACTCTGAACACGGAACGCATCATTCCGCTGGATGAACTGGATCCCAACACCAAGCAGTACTGGAGGCGACTTCGGAAATTGGCCCTGCGGCGAAACAACCAGCTATCCAAGCTGAAAAAGTTCTAGAAGCTGTAACAACGGCTAGCCGTAGGTGTTATCGTTGATTTTGGAGACTCATACTGGCCCTCAACCCGCGCCAGGGTGCAATCATGTTGGCTCGTATTTACATTGCTGTTATGCAGCAACAAGTGTACAAACACTTTATTGTTCTCTGGTAAAAACCGCAAATACATTTTACACTATATCAAAGACCTTATCAAAAAAGGGTTATTTGTTGACATTCGATTTCTTGTATAAAACACGTGGACCTGGTAGAATTTTCAATCAGTTGCAATGTGGAGTTCATCATCGGGGTATCTGGTGCTTTTTGGGGTCTTCCTGTTGGCTACGTCTATAGCTGGTCAAAGAAACACCTCAAGTAAGTGGTTGTCAAAAGGATTATAATCGGTTAGTAACCCCTATTTAGATGTCGTTTGCTATCAGGGCACTTGGTCGGTTTACCGCCCTGGACTAGGCAAGTTCGGAGTGGAAGACATCGATCCCTTCCTGTGCACTCACTTGATCTACGCTTTTCTGGGCATCGAGGAGACGGGTCAGCTCCGGGTCATCGATGCCTATCTCGACCTCGAGGATAACAGCGGTCGAGGAAATATAAAGAATTTTAACGCCCTGAAGCTAAAGAATCCCACGTTGAAGACCTTGGTAGCCGTGGGCGGTTGGAACGAGGGCTCGAAAAAATTCTCGTTGGTGGCCAGCGATCCTGCAAAGCGTTCGCGCTTTATAGACGATGTAGTCCGATTTCTGCAACGACATGGATTTGATGGATTGGACTTGGACTGGGAGTATCCTGGCCAGCGACACAGCCTGGAGAACGACGACGACAAGACGAACTATATTACTTTTCTAAAGGAGCTTAAAGAAGGGTGAGCCCAAGACCTAACTTAATATTATAAAACCTTTTTCATGAATATTACTTTTTAGCCTTCAACCTTTTGGCTTCATGCTAAGTGCCGCGGTAGGTTCTGCCCAATTCTCTGCAGAGATATCCTACGACATTCCAGCGATAGTTCCCTACCTGGATCTCATCAATGTGATGGCCTATGATCTTCATGGTCCTTGGGATCCAGTTTTGGGCATCAATGCGCCCTTGTATGCATCCAAAAAGGATGCGAGCGATGCCTCAGGACGCCAGCAGCAGCTCAACGTGGACGCCATTGTCAAATACTGGCTGCAGGCTGGAGCTCCTGCCGAAAAACTGGTACTGGGAGTGCCTTTCTATGGTCGTACTTTCACATTGGCCAAAGCAGAGGACCACGAACTGGGATCGCCCCACATTGGCAAGGGAATTGCCGGAAGGTATTCGCGAGAACCAGGTGTCCTGGGCTACAATGAGCTGTGTGAACTCATGCAGGAGGAGGACTGGACACAGGCTTGGGAGTCAGAACAAAAAGTCCCCTACGCCTACAAACAACGCCAGTGGGTGGGCTACGAGGACGTGCGAAGCCTGTCCCTGAAGGCACAATACGTTCTGGAACACCAGCTGGGTGGCATTATGATCTGGTCCCTGGAGTCGGATGATTTCCGTGGCACCTGTGGAAACCAGCGATACCCCCTACTACATGAGATTAATCGAGTGCTCTTTGGAAGTGACACCCCCAGTGGTTTGACGGATAAACCAAATGCTGGTCAGCCCAAAGAAGGGTTTAGTTGTCCGGCAGATGCCACGGAAGGATACGTGCGAGATCCAAAGAACTGCTCCAAGTTCTATTACTGCAATGACGGCAACACCCACAGTTTCGAATGTCCTTCAGGACTAGGTTTTGACCAAAACACAAAGTCCTGTAACTATTTATCCTCAGTAAATTGCTAAAACTTTAATACGACCAACAGGATTTCTCAGTTTCTTGGGGGATTGGTCCCTACTCAACAATCTTTAGATTAAGCGGAAAGTTATCAATGCCATAAAGGGGCATGCCCGGACGCCAAATAACAAAGTCCTGCTTGCACTCCACCTCCTTTTCGGGGCGGCAATATTCCAATTTCTCATCAAAGAACTGTCCTTTGAGGCATTCGTAGTAGATTCTCTCTCCATTCCGGCACTCATGGTACAGCCTACAGTCCCAAACATCACGCTGGAAACCATCACGTGGGCAAAGGCCATTGGCCACGGTTGTGGGGGCTGTAGTCATTAATGCACTCTGATCACCCAAGGCCGTGAATATGATACGGAGCTGGGAATACTGCTCGCCGCATTTGCCATTAAAGTCGTCCGCGTCAATGGTCCAGGCCATAGCGCCGCCAAGTTTGTTCGATTTGATTATGTTCATCTTTGGCCAAAGGCTGCGTGAGTCTTCAAAGCTAACCCATTGGTTACCTCGTGTAGCATACGGCACCATCAACTTTTTGTCAAAGTTAAGGGCCCAGTTAGTCATGTGCAGGCACCACTCACTGTAGGTCATAAAACCAGGGCGACGGGTAATCGGCGTCTGCTTGCCGGGACCCTTACAGGCCGATCCCACAGCGAACCTTTTTTTATCCATTGTGTAGGAGGTCAAAAATAGAGGAATACTGAGGATAAGCTTTTTGGGGGCTTGGCCAACCTTTATCCAGTACTTCACGGCAGCTTCCACACTGTTCTCGGCTCCGTGGAGCGGGGCCATGTAGGTTAGTTTCCGGCTATGGACGTCTCTTTCGTCGTGGAGCATCAGGTTGACAAAGTCTGCTTCCTTTACGATAGTGGGGATGTTGTAGGCATCCAAGGTCTGCTTGTCTGTACGCCCTAAGACCGCCACCATCAGAATGAACTTGTGCTTCTGGGCACTATATAAAAATATTTATAACTTTTTACATCGAAGGAGACTTTCTTTTAAACTTACGCGAGATGGAGCTCTTCAAGGAATATGACAAAATTTTCCTTGTCCTTGGGCTGACTACCTTTGGCAGGATAGCGCCAGTCAATCTGGACGCCATCCAGATGCCATTTGCTCAAAAAATCGGTAAGCGATTTGTAGAACTTTTCCCGTTTGGCCGGGGAGGCGATCAGTTCGTTGAGTCGTCGGGATTCTCCATTAGCCCAGCCACCCAGAGTAAACAGAATTTTCTTGACGCTATCCATCTTTAGTCTACTAACATCCATCAAAATGCCTACAAACAATAAGGTAGAATAATCCCCATTCTATTCAGTTTTTTAGTCCCTAACTTACCATGTTTCACGAGCATGAACTCATCAGTGATTTTGACTTCTCCGGTCTCTTCGTTTACACCGAATCCATGTCCAACAACCAAGTGGGTGCACAGCCTGGTGTCTATGTTCCAGGTATAAACGTGACTCTCATTTTTAAAGTAAAAGGAGCCCAAGTCATATTGGCAAAAAATATGATCTGAAAAACACTTAATTTTTATTTTCTTAGTTCATTTTTAGGGCCTATCTTACAATCCTGCGCTGCACAACCACATATCATAAAGATCATCACAGCAAGAACACAATTAAGTGGACCCATGATTACGCCGGACCTTGTTAAATAAACTTAAAATTTTAATGTTAAATGGATTTTAATGTTCGTATAATGTCGGGATCTAAAACAATCTTTTAGTTCAATTTAAATTCGGACGAATCGAGGTCTTGTTTAGTGTTATTTCTGAATATGTTACAATCAAAGTGTCGACTCTTAAAAACATAACTGAATACTGAGGCAATGATAGCTGGGAAAATAATTTTAAGACCCAAACCAAAAGATTTGAGATTTTAGTGGATATTTTCACTATTTCACAACCGAATCAAAAACGGAATACCAATTATGAATGAGGGTTCCAATTCTCTTTAGACTGCATTTAAAAATTGTGAATATTAGACAAACAAATTTTCGTCCAAATTTTGGCCAAAATCATGAGGGTACCCCTTTGAAAAATTTCGAAAAATGGGTCAAAAATTTTAGTGCCAGGTTTTTATTCAGGATGGTGCTACTCGAAGTTCTAAGATCGGGAAGGTATATCATTTCATGATCCGCCAAGTATTGGACGAGTTATAGACATTTTTCATTCCAGAAATTGGAAAAATAGTATCCCAATTTTTTACTATTTTTATGATTAAAAATCTAAATTTTTCATGCATGTTTTAGTGGATATTTTCACTATTTTACAACCGATTCAAAAACGGAATACCAATTATAAATGAGGGTTCCAATTCTTGTCAAACTGCATTTCAAAATTGTGAATATTAGACAAACAAATTTTCGTCCAAATTTTGGCCAAAATCATGAGGGTACCCCTTTGAAAAATTTCGAAAAATGGGTCAAAAATTTCAGTGCCAGGTTTTTATTCAGGATGGTGCTACTCATAGTTCTATGATCGGGAAGGTATACCATTTCATGATCCGCCGAGTATTGGCCGAGTAATAGACATTTTTCATTCCAGAAATTGAAAAAATAGTATCCCAATTTTTTACTATTTTTTATGATTAAAAATCTGAATTTTTAATGCATGTTTTAGTGAATATTTTCACTATTTCACAACCGATTCAAAAACGGAATACCAATTATGAATTAGAATACCAATTCTCGTCAAACTGCTTTTAAAAATTATGAATATTACACAAACTAATTTTTGTCCAAATTTTGGCCAAAATCATGAGGGTACCCCTTTGAAAAATTTCGAAAAATGGGTCAAAAATTTTAGTGCCAGATTTTTATTCAGGATATTGCTACTCGAAGTTCTAAGATCGGGAAGATATACGATTTCATGATCCGGCAAGTATTGGACGAGTTATAGACATTTTTCATTCCAGAAATTGGAAAAATAGTATCCCAATTTTTTACTATTTTTTATGATTAAAAATCCGAATTCATGCATGTTTTAGTGGATATTTTCACTATTTTACAACCGATTTAAAAACGGAATACCAATTATGAATGAGGGTTCCAATTCTCGTTAAACTGCATTTAAAAGTTGTGAATATTAGACAAACAAATTTTTGTCCAAATTTTGGCCAAAATCATGAGGGTACCCCTTTGAAAAATTTCGAAAAATGGGTCAAAAATTTTATTGCCAGCTTTTTATTGAGGATGGTGCTACTCGAAGTTTTAAGATCAGGAAGGTATACGATTTCATGATCCGCCAAGTATTAACCGAGCTATACCCTTTTTCGTTAACAAAAAGTGAAATAATCGCAAGTAAATATTATGTTTTTTTTATTTGTCAAAGTCTTTATGCAATTTTGTGATGCAGATGGAAGTTTATTTACGACCTCAAGAAAAAAAACTCAAGTGCCTTATTCACCAAAATAAAAGTAATTAAAATTCCAAAGCAATATAGATTATATTACGAAATAGTAGAACAAGAAAGAGTCTTCCTTCCAGTCTTCCAAGAGGTTACGGCATTTTTTAAAAGTGAACCCTGTTTGCAAAACAATTTAGATTAGTGGTCCGTGCATTGTTAACCCTTTCAAATATATGGCAAAGACATTACGTACAACTTTTATGGTTCTTGAATGACAATTCTTTTATCATTCTTTCAATATTGAAATTGATTCATGTGCACTTGCCCACGGGCCAATCTGGGCCTTGATTACGGCCACTTAGTCATTTCTAAATATTTCTACAAGTAGCTTTCAATCTAATCGGACCATAATGCGACCATAAATACAGGATTTATAAGAATGTTTTAAGCACACCAGTGGCCAGATGTTCTCCAAGGAAAAAAATCATGGAATTGATGCATTTTTTAAAGAATATATTTATTAAAAGATTTCCTCATAGGGGCAGTCAGGGACATCTTTCGGCCAACAGCATGTGCTTGAGGAAAGATCAAAATACAAGCCAGATCCACACTGGAAGTCATGGCGAACTCCATTGGTGCACTGATAGAAGAGGTTGCAGTTGTTGTCCCGCCAGAAGTAGCCATCTTTGGAGCAGTCACCGCCAGTGCCACCATTACCTCCGCTGCCACCTCCAGGAGTGGTAGCAGTTGTGGGAGCAGCAGTGGGGGCAGCAGTCGGAGTCGGAGTGACACTGCCTCCGCCTCCGCTGCCACCTCCCCCACTCACATCCTTGCCCAGAGCACGGTTCATGGTCTTCAGCAGGGGATAGGATTCACCGCAAAGCCCGCGGAAGTCGTCAGTTTCAATGGACCACATCATAGCACCGCCCAGGTTGCGAGACTCAACCAACTGCATCTTCATCTGGATGCTCTCTGGGTTGTCGTAGCCGATCCACTGGTCACCGGAGAAGGCATAGGGAGCACCGTTCTCAGCGTCGAACACAGTTTGCCAATTGTTAAGGCAGATCTCATGGTAGCCCAAGAAGCCATTCTCTCGGGTGTAGGCACCAGCCGATCCGGGACCAATGCACGCGGCTCCGGGCCAGTTCTGCGAGCTATCGGCCATTTGGTAGCTGTGGCCGTAGAAGCCAATTCCCAGAATCAGCTTCTCTGGCGGGGCGCCATGCGACAGCCAATAATCAATGGACTCGGTAACCTCGGGCAGAGGAGCGTTCAGACCCAGGTAGCCATCCAAAGCCATGTGGAAGTCGTAGGTCATGACGTTGATGAAGGTCAGATGCTGGGAGATGGCCGGGATGTCATAGGAGATGCTAGCCGACTTCTCAGAGGCACCCACAGCAATACCCAGTTCCAAACCGTACTGATCGTAGCTGTGGATGACACAATTCGGTTATTTCACATCCAGGAGCTAGGCATTCTTAGGGACTCACGTTTCCTTGATTTCGCGCAAAAGTGTCACAAAGTTCTCACGGTCAGCTTCGCTGCCTCCACGCTGTCCAGGATACTCCCAATCTAGATCCAGACCGTCGAAGCCGTACTGCTGGATAAAGGCCAGCGATGTGGAGACGAAAGTGGCACGCTTGGTGGGATCAGCAGCCATGGCAGAGTACTTGGTGGAGCCTTCATTCCAACCGCCCACGACCGCCAGGATCTTAAGATTGGGATTCCGCTGCTTCAGGGCAATGGTCTGGCTAATGAAGGCTAAAAAAGAAACCCTTTTTGATGAAGTTTATTAGAACACAGGAAATAGATTTTGTAACCTACCAAGTCCATCGTCCATGTCCAGCCAGGTGTCCAGGGACTTGAATTCGCCGGCATCGCTAATTCCAAAGAAGGTGTAACTGATGTGTGTGCACAGCGAGGGATCAATGTCCGAGGGCGTAAACTTGCCATCCCCGGGACGATAGTTCGCCCAGGTGCCCCAATAGCAGTTGATCAACTCTGGAGGGGATTGAAATGTAAGCCGTGATGGATTAATGACTTGGATTATTTACTCACTTTCGCTGGTGGCCACTTGGGCGAGGCAAAGGCCTGCCAAAGCCAAAATTGCATAGAACTTCATGGTGTTGCCCGTGGGTTAAACGGCAGAATAGCTTCGGGCTGCATGAAACAGCCTTTATATGGGTCGGTAACCGGCGATCCTTATCAATATTATTATAAATTACTAAGGTGATAAGCCATCGAAACGAAAGAAATAGAAAACAAAACAATAATATATTGCATCCAGATAAAATACTTGAACCTCAAGAGCCTATACGTACCCACTTACTATATTTAACAATGTTATAAATATTCAGCACAGGATTTTTGAGTGCATCTCAAGATTGTGCTAGTGGCTCTTATTTTTTTTACCCCCATTGAACCCATGTTGTCATCATCCTAGAAGAAGATTCAAAACTGTTGCTATCCCAGGCCCCTAGACACTTCAAAGAAAAAATCGCAGGTAAATCAATAAACAACTTTATTCTAAGAAATTTTATCAAAGTGATGCATACAACATTGTCTCTTAAGGTGAAAAATATGAAAAACAAAAGAGTTAAAAATAAATGATTACCTTATTGTTTAAGTACTTGTTGATGTTCAACGATTGTACGTCTATTTAGGACAGAATATGATCGACCTTATACCTTATTTCCAAATAGATGGACATTTTTGGTATTGCCATGCGTTATAAGAAATGAGCTATTGATACAGACTTTAATATCAGGAAAAGCTTTTAGATGACTCAGAATTGGTTTTACAAAACAATACATTACTTCCTTGTTTTATCAACTTTCCCTATATTTACAATTGCAATATGAGAACTCTTACACATTCTTTTATGTGGAAATCTTTTGAAAAAAGTTCTAGCCTCTAGGTATACCTATTAAATATTTATTTCATTTTAGTGATTGCACATTTCCAAGGCATGAAAGACCATACTAAGATTGATATATATAGTGAAATACTTCTAAAAGTATTACCGAGACTACAAGACTCAAATATTCAATAAAATCAATGAATATATTCCTAAAAAACCCTCTTTTACAACAGATTTAAGTTTCAAAAGCTTAATTCTAATAATTTATATACATATTTTTGAAGTTTTTTCATTTATGCATTATCTTGTTGATGGTCTTCAACAGGGGGTAGGACTGGCCGCACTTGCCGCGGAAGTCGTCCGTCTCCAGGGACCAGATCATGACTCCAGCCAGTCCATGGGAAAAAGCTGAGTACATCTTGAGCTCCACACTGAACTCGTTGTCGAAGCTAACCCATTGGTCGCCGGAGAAGGCGTAGGGAGAGTCATTCTTATTATCGAAGATGGTCTTCCACTTATTCAGGCAGATTTCGTTGTAGCCCAAGAAACCGCTTTCGCGGGTGTAGGTTCCGGCGGAGCCACCGCCAAGACACCGAGCTCCGGGCTTGTTCTGGGAGGCGTCCGACAGCTGGAAGGTTCGGCCGTACGTGCCCACACCTAGGACTAGCTTGTTGGCGGGAGCACCATGGTTTAGCCAGAAGATAATGGAGTTTTCGATGGCCATCAGGGGGGAGTTGAAGCCGGTCTTTCCATCGGAGGCCGTGGCAAAGTCGTAGGTCATCAGATTGATGAATTTGACATACGGGACGATGTTGGCAATATCGTAGGAGACACTGGCAATTTTCTCTCCAGCTCCAACTGCTATAGTTAACTGATAGCCTCGGGGATCGAAACTACAGGATTCAAGCCTAATTAGTATGTGAGCCAAAAATCAGAGGGATATTCCAAACTTACGCTTTCTTCAGTTCCCGCAGAAGCGTCACAAAGTTGGCGCGATCGTGTGAGTTTCCACCACGCTGGCTTGGATACTCCCAGTCCAAGTCCAGACCATCGAATCCGTTCTTGCTAAGCAGGTTCACAGCAGATTTAACGAAGTTCTGGCGCTTGTGCTTATCGCCGGCCATGGAGGAGTACTTGATGGAACCCTGGTTCCAGCCACCGACCACGGCCAGGACCTTCAAGCTGGGATTCTGTCTCTTAAGACCAACAGCCTTGCTGATGAATCCCAGGTCGTAGTCGAGCCAGGTGTCCAGTGAAACGATCTCACCGCTGTCGTTGATGCCGAAGAAGGAGTAGCTCAAGTGGGTGCACAACCTGGGATTGATGTTTGAGGCATCGAACTTGCCATCGCCGGTGCGGTAGTAGGCCCAGGTGCCCCAGTAGCAGTTGATGATGTCTGTAGAGTATGAAAACTCAAAGGACTTTAGGCAGAGGACTGCAAGAATAGCTAATAGTTTTCCCATTTCGCAATATGGTGTGCAAGTGGCGATACTTTGCAGTGCCTTGCGCCATTTATATCTTTCCGATCGGTCCCTATCTTCAGACTTATCTTTGGACGTGTACAAGCATTGATCACATAAAATAAATGGAGTTGTAAAGAAAGATTTTATAGGGATCGGTAGAAAAAAGTAAAAGTCACGTTGTAGTTTTAAATAAATACTATATAAGATATGAATTTTTTTTGTAAGAGACTTGTATGGAATAAAATCAGTTTTGCAATTGAACTTATCGGAATAAGACGAGTTTTTTTGGGCTTCTACTAACAGGACGTGATAACCATACTCCATTTATCTGGCCAATGTACAAGTTCTTCCTCGATGTATAGATTCTTCCATTTTCCTTCAGATTACACTTCCATAAGTTTAAAACACATATCCTTTCAATTTTCATAGATTTTATTGAAACAATGCTATGGGGAAACCCTTTACCAACGCAGCTTCCTGTTGATGGTCTTCAGCAAGGGGTAGGACTCGCCGCACTGGCCGCGGTAGTCGTCCGTCTCCAGAGACCAGATCATGGCTCCAGCCAAGCCCTTGGAAATGGCAAAGTCCATCTTGTACTGGACACTGAGAACGTTGTCGAAGCTGACCCACTGGTCGCCGGAGAAGGCGTAGGGAGCGGCGTTTCCGTAATCGAAGACGGTCTCCCAGTTGTTCAGACAGATTTCGTTGTAACCCAAGTAACCGCTCTCGCCGGTGTAGGATCCAGCGTTGCCACCGCCTCGGCATGAAGCTCCGGGCCAGTTCTGGGAAGCATCTGACAGCTGGAAGGTGCGTCCGTACATGCCCACACCCAGGACCAGCTTGTTGGCGGGAGCACCCTGGCTCATCCAGAAATTGATGGAGTCCTCGACGGCCCACTGGGGGGAGTTGAAGCCGGTCTTGCCATCGGAGGCCATGGCGAAGTCGTAGGTCATCACATTGATGAAGTTAACGTGCTGAGCAATGTTGGCAATCTCGTAGGAGGCACTGGCGATACCCTCTCCAGCTCCAACAGCAATACCCAACTCATAGCCGTAGGGAGCGAAACTGAAGGATTCAAACTTAATGAGATCCAGAAACCGCAAAGACATTGAAAACTTACGCTTCCTTCAGTTCGCGAAGAAGGGTCACAAAGTTGGCACGATCGTCCCAGTTGCCACCACGCTGGTTGGGGTACTCCCAGTCCAAGTCCAGACCATCGAATCCGTTATTGCGGAGCAGGTTCAGAGCGGAGTTGATGAAGTTCTGGCGCTTGTACCAATCGCCAGCCATGGAGGAGTACTTGGTGGAGCCCTCGTTCCAGCCACCGACGACGGCCAGGACCTTCAGGCCGGAATTCTGGCTCTTCAGGCCAACAGCCTTGCTGATGAATCCAAGGTCGTAGTCCAGCCAGGTGTCTAGTGAAACGATCTCACCGCTGTCGTTGATGCCGAAGAAGGAGTAGCTCAAGTGGGTGCACAAGCCAGCGTCGATGTTGGAGGCATCGAACTTGCCATTGCCGCTGCGGTAGTTGGCCCAGGTGCCCCAGTAGCAGTTGACGATGCCTATAGGGGGTTACAACCTTTAGTACTCCCTGAGATCTGATATCCCTTTGGACTCACGCTCGGCAACGATCGCCTGGCTCAGGCAGAGGACTGCAAGAATAGCTAATAGTTTTCCCATTTCACAATGTGCTGGCCAGTGCCGTTTCTGCAAGGTATTTATACCTTTCCGATCGGTCCCTATCTTCAGACTTATCTCTGGACGTGTTGAACAAAAAAAATAACAAAGATAGATTTCCAAGTGGACCCATGGAAAAAAGTAAATTTATAGATGCTTCGTCGCGTGCTTCTTGTTTTGGATTTTTCGTCATATTTATAATGGACGCGTATCTAGGAGTCAAGTACAACTTGATTTCTTGTCTATCCTAGAGTTTTTATGACCATTTTGTGAGTATTTTAATATTAGATTTCGCTTTTATTTTTTTTTTGATTAAGCAAATCATATTCATTTAACTTTTTCGATTTGATAGGAGACATTGTTTTGAGACCCAGATTACTCATTTGAATATTTTTTGATTTTATTGCTCGCTTTAAAGTTCACTGATAAGGTTTTGAAGGAGTAAACCTGATTTCATTGAGGAGAAGTAAATTATTTTGAATGAGCTAGCTCTTAAGAACTTCGAGATTATGTTTATTATTTTCCTTTTTCATCACATTCTGAGAAAAGTTAGTTAAGAAATGCTCCCAAATCTCCAAAGAAAAGACATTCGTTCTTAAAAGTATTTATTAATTTCTTTTTGTTAACCAATTTGGATGAAAAATAACAAGCTCAGTTGCTTTTATTCGAGATTCCTCAATAGTATTCAGTAGAAATGCAATTATAAATAAAAAGTAATGCGACCAGTTAGACTGTAAAGCGCTCAAATTAACAATTGTGATTCAGTGCGTTGGACATTCAATACCAGGGCCAGGGCATGTGGCTTAGGCAACGTAGACCTCGAACTCCTTGTAGGCCAACTCCTCGCCGCCGTACGGGATGTAGCAGACGCCGTGGGATGGCTGGACCTTGCCGACCGTGATGGTTCCCTCGTGGGTGGCACGGCCGATGAACAGGGGCTCGCCTTCGGCGGTCTCGCCGGCTGGCAGAGCGTTGGGCGGAATGTTGCCGGCCTCCACGGGTACCCACTGGCCACCACCAGCGCACAGCACTTCGTATTCGCCGTGTCCGTGTTCGCCACCGCCCCAGGCCACATAGGTGACTCCGTGGGAGGGGTGCAGCTTGCCGGGAATCAGGTCACCCTCGTGACGGGCACGGGCGATGTACAACTGCTCGCTGCTGTCGAATCCGCCTTCAAGGGCATTGGGAGGCACCTCTCCGTTAGCGGCTGGCACCCAGCATCCGGGTCCGCTGCCGGTGGGAGCGGTAAAGCCCAACACGGGAGCTGATGGAGCAGATTCTGCAATAAATGGGAGTCATTAATAGGATGTACAAGGTAACTAATTAATTAAACTAGACCCTTCATAGTCAGTATATCCAAAATGTATATTTTAGGTTAACTCACCATCCAACAGCCAAGTTCCGCTGGCACCCCATCCTGTGCAGACTCCCACGAAGTTGACCGGGTACAGGCTGCCGGCATCGTAGGAAAGGAAAGCAGCGGCTTCGCCTTCGCGTCCGACGGTGATGACGTTGTCGTACCAACGGATCCAGAAGCCACGGAACTCGCCGGCATCCAGGATTCCAGGGGTGGGAACCTCAGCCACCTCGGGCTTTTGGCGGTCCTTGCGGATCACCGACTTGGTGTTGTCCCAACCACCAATAAAGATCTCATAGATAGGACCATTGTCCTCTGGGGCGGGGGTGAGGGCCAGATGGGCATCTTTGGGAGAGCGCACCTTGAAGGTGAAGAGTCCTCCGCTGGCCGGGAAGAATTGGTATTCCAACTTATCGGGGGTGTTGATTTCTGGAAAAAAGAAGAGAAACAGTCGTAAGTTTTGTGTTTTGAAGGGAACTGTACTCCCATGACAACATGACAATGGGAATATTTCGAGGTTTTAATTAACAAGATCTGAAAACCACAAAACAAATTCTGACAAAGTTTTGAACTGGAAAGAATTGGTGGCTATTTATATGTTTTAGGCTTTTTTATGTATCCACATATTTAAACCTACATATACATAGATATATCTGAAATGTTTAGCGTCTGTTTTTTGTTTGGCTCTTCTAAGCGCCATTCAAATGATGTCATTTGGATCGACGTTGTTTATTGTCTACAAAAAATTCTAGCGAGTTCCACTCAAGCTCACTCTCGGGCTCTAATAAGGTGAGCCAGCTTTACGGGGCCTCAAACATTTCTCTATGGGTCTATATGTTGTCGTGTTTGTGGCTTGAATGTTTTCCCTAGCAGCATTATTTCGCATGACATCATTTTAGGTGCATCTCACGTCTGCCAGAGGTCACCATATCGGGCGGAATTCTATTGATTGCCAGAGTTCAAGGCCCAGATGTCTGACTCACTGAAAGTGCTACATATTTTTGGCCACTGCGCCGTATGACCACATCGAAAATCAATTTAATAGGTCATAAATAAATATATAAAACTGACGAAACGGGAAAATGGACATATGCTTGTTAATTGGATCTGGGTGATCACAAGGTGAAAGTTTCTGTAAAAAAGTCTATCTTCGCTTAGAAATCACTTCTTTCACACAAAAAAAAATAATTTATGTATTTTATTTACTTCTTATGTTCGCGATTCTAGGAAAATGTTGACACAATTTTCTAATTTTTGGTGCTGGGCCAAAAATGTTCTTCTTTCTATCGTTTATTCCGTCCGCGACCCATCCCCCATTCCCCATTTATTCAATTATCCATCTGGTTATCCAACTACTCTATGCACTCCACCCACTGGGGCCACTCACCAATTGGCATGATTGCTGCTTCCACTGAACGTTATTCGCTTTCTGAGATTCTGATTCAAACTGCCACTCCAAAACCAAAATACCGGCGAAGTAAGCACCGAAAGAAATAATAACGAGAGAAAATTCAAGAAGCTTTTAAGCTTTTGCGAATGAGAGATCTTGTTGTCTGTCTATGTCGCAATGTACACGACTGTACCTGCCCGAACATTGCAAAATTTTGAGTCAGATTACTATGGTAATACCCTTATTTTATAAATGTAGCTTTTAAATATTGCTAAAATTTTTTTTATATAAATCCATCCAAATCTTTAGAGTTCCTTTGAGTTTTAAAGAAAAATTATATTCATAGTAAATAGTTAGGCTTTTCTAAAAACAAATTGTTCAATTACAAATTGCAGCAATTTAAGATCAAACTTTTTTAATTAATTGTTTGCCTTATTTTGTAGATAAACTCTTCATTTACAAAGTTAGAGTATATCCGGTAGCTATTGTAACTAGTTCGCTTAGCACCTCTATGAGTCAGGCTTTCAAAAGCCACTGCTGATGTCATCAAAACACCCCATGAGCTTTTATACACTATAGGTATAGGTACACTACAAAACATCTCTCTACAATCTCTAAACATAAACAGGTTTAAAATCTTAAGCTAGACTTTGTGTGATTTGTTTCCCAAAATATGAAACCATTAACTTAACTTTTAAATGGTTGTAAAAAATGTAAATAAAAGATATTAAAAATGTACTTTAAAAAATATTTACTGAAAATGATAAGAAAATGTTTGAATAAAAATGAATATTCATATTTTTATTTATTAACGAAAGGGTACTAAAATTATCTTAAACTCAAGATTGGTGTTTACTATTCCGTGCACTGCGGTTTCTGTCGTCATTAGTTTTGGCGTCATGTGCCAGTTTTATTTTATGTTGTCACATGCCGTATAGTTTTGGCATATTTTTTATTCGAATTTCAAGACAATTTTTAATTGACAAACAAGTTCATATTAAAGTACTTGATTTAAAATAAAAATAATTAGTAAACATGCAGATTTTTTGAAAACTCATCCTCATGTAAAATGTATGCATAGTATTATATCCAATTATTAGAACTAAAAAGTGTTTAATACATTTTTAATTTTTATTTGAGGAACTGGTGCAACTGATTCATAGCTCAATGAGAATAAATAAGAGTATCCTCTTTTTGTCGCAACCCATTTAGTGTGCTGAGGCCGGAACTAAAGTGCTTTAATATTTAATTCTGACATATAAAGCACAAAGTGCCATCCAATATAAAGTGACTTCTACGTGGAGTCCACTGTGCTATTTATTTTGTGCGGTGCCTTGGCCTGTGTTGGGTTGCGCGAAAATCGAAGCATACTTTTCGGGGGTATGGAATAAGAGGCGTGAGTTGTTGGCACATTATGGCGCCTCCGTATTCATCCTGTAACGGGGGTGCGTGGCTTATTCTTCCTTTCGTCTGGTCTCTTTCGTTTCGCCTTTTCCACTCGAATTTCGCTTGGGGTCTCAATGTCAGTTGGTTTTCCTCTGTCTCGCCGGTCGGTCGCCCTCTTTGGTTTCAAACACGTGCATGCGCAGAGCTTTACAGCAAGCGGATATTATCGAAAAACAAACAAATTGTGATATTTCTGTTCACAGAAACTGCTCCGATTGCCAAACTGTCTTGTGATAAGACTCGATCCATTGCTCACCCCGCTATATGTAGGTGTATTTATATCGCAGACACCTGAACACACACACAAGCCTGTTACAGACACACAGTGGCAGACGCAGTCGAGTAAACAAACAAAAGAGTTGCCTGCCGCCCTGCCGCGCTCACTGTTTGCTGGCGTAAGGAGCTTTTAATGTTAACTGGGATGTTAACAGATCAACTTTCTAGAATCTAGACAGGGTTTCTATAACATTCTGTATCCAGGGTTATTGCATCAGATAACTGATGAGTACACAGAAACAAATCCTAGGGCCCACTATCAGGCAATATTTTTTCAAAAGTTTTCTCTAATCTCTAATCTTTGTGATATCTTTCGAATATAGTGCAACCTTTTCTTGGACGAGCCCCCAAATTGTGTTCACTGCGCAGATAACAAGCTGGCTAAACAAGTTAACTTTGTTTACACTTTCCCATTCAGTTTTATTGTCAGTTTGCGTAACATCCTGACCTCTGGAATGCTGGACCATCAGGCATGCCTGGCAATTCAATTTACTGATTTATTTTTATTCATTCCAAGCACTAAGAGCGAAATAAATTAATACGATCCAATTACTACTTCCTCCCGTGACTTTTGGCGACTTTTGCGACATTTCCAAAAGTGACACTAAATCTGGTTTGCTGGCTGGACGATGAATTCATTCAATTGGATTCAATTGACTCTCAGTACCAGTTCGAGACCACTGGATTTTCTCTGTCAATTGAGCCTGAAACGAGCCTAGGGCAATCAACTTGGCATTACGAATAGATAGATGAAAATGGCACAGCCAACGAAAGGAAAAGTGGCAAATAATAGATGCAATATGTTTAGATTATGACATATCGCGTATACGCCCTGTGGTCAGGAACTTATGAAATCCGTATAGTAACACGTCAGCTGACCAAATCTAAATTAGTGTTTTATGTTGTTTTTCTTATGCTTTTCTCTGTGTGTATATGTATCTGTGAGCTTGACGAGCCCCCCAACACACCGACACTAGAGTGTGTGCGTGATTTTATGCTCTGAAATGTCAAAAAACTCGTTTTTTACCCAGACCGTTCACTCTTGAAAGATAAAAGGGAAGGAAATATCATCGTGATCGGTTGATTCGATCAACTGAGACTTCGGTACCCTTTGATTCCTATATTTATCTGCTGATTAATGTACATCTCGCTTGGTAATGGAGTTTTTGGCCCTCATTTTTTTACCAAAAAACAACTCTCTTATCTCTTTTGTTTTTTATTCCGTGTCTGCTTTGGTATTTACATGTGTGTGTGTGTGCTCGAGTTGTTGCCCAAAGGTCACAGCCGAAGGTCGTTGATATTTTAAGATCAAAACGTGTTGTATAGGCAAAAAGTTGGCACTTGTGCACTCGCATAATTTTTGGAACCGGTTTGACTGGCAAAAGGGTGGAAAATTGGCAAGGGCACCTTGGAAACGGCACAAATATGCAACCGACACAGACACATCTATGTTAGGTTCTTAAACATTCTGTTTGTGTCGCATACCATTTTTACTGTCAACGCGCCACTTTTCAAATCCTCCTGCAAATTTCATCAACAAAAGGGGGAAAGGTGGTGCAACCGGCACAGCGAGGTGGGGTGGCTGGCAGCCAAAGTTCGCGAAAAGAGTAAAAGAGGTGTGAGTTGGGGACGGGCAAGGGGCTGAGAGACCGTACCGGCAGTTGTAGTCTTGACGCACATCACACACACACGACGACGAGCACGATCCGCTCACATTCTCGCTCCCAACCGCTCTGTGTTGGTGTCTGCGTGAGGGGCCTTTTATCACAACTGAAGAGAAATCGCCCCACCACCAGCACGAGGCTCTCTCCCACTTTTTTACCCCAACGCTCGCCAACAGCTGTCATTTCTACACTGCCAACAAATGAATTTTAATATGGCAAAAATATATAATATAATTTATTTATAATATTTCATGGTTTTAGTTATATTATATCCTTCACATCCAAATATTTTTTATTAAATATTGGCAACCATTGCTGCTTTAGTCAAACAATACTTTAAAAACCTTTCAAAAAACCTAAACATACCCCTATCCTTTGGCAGTGTACACCTCTCTGATAAATTAACACAATCCTCTCGCTGTATTATCCCACTTTTGGATATGTAGTGCTACGTGAGAGCAAAAAATCGGAAAGGCGCTCACCAGCAGAAACAGAAACTATTTAATAACCGTAAGTTGCACGCTCGTGAATAGTCTCGTGGGACTGCTCGCTGCTCCAAGCCCCAAGCCCAAGCCCCAAGTAGTGGCGAAAACCTGAACAGAACAGAACGTCGCTGATCGAACTCGAGTGATAAATGCAAACAACGCATATCGAAGTGATAACCAAGTGAAAAACAAACGGAAAACTTAAAACTACAAATTATTAGTTAAAATAAATTCTAAAAAGTAACCAGCTCGCAGCCTTGCAAGAGCCTTCTACAAGCACTTGATTGCACCTCCAGGAAGCGAAATCCCCAGCAGCAAGCACCATGGCGAAAAACAGGTGAGTCTGTTGGAATACTCGTAGTTTCGCCAATTGCGGTATCATTGCATAATTCTGCAGAATGCAAATTTTGCACTTCGTTTGCCAAGTGAGGACATCTGTTGTCTAAATGTCTGCTTTCACTTTCCTGCCCGCCGCGGCAGAGTTGGCTGAAATGTCTGGCCGAGAAGCTGAGCGAAAATACGTTCATACATACGACTATATAGCGCTACGTGTGTGTAGTTTATAGTTTTATTTTAAACCACTGCTATTTTGCCTTTCTGTGCCAATGCCAAAATGTTTTTCGGTTTATTTTTGTTATTTTATCTCTTCACACGCACGCTTGCCAGTCAGCCGGCGAGCCAAAATCTCATTGTAATTGCTCATTACTTTAATCAGGCCCGTTTTATTTCCCATATTTGCTGGCAACAGGAAATATTCACTCCCTTTTAATATTCTAATTAAATTTGAAAATTAATAAGTGAGTAAAATTTGAGCAATACAATAAAATACGGTGATAATTGCCCGGTTTTAAGGGTGTGCATTCAATAATTTCTTTTCAAAAACATTTTCCACATAAAATTCTGTAAAGAGTCATGTTTTTCAAAGAATTAATTATATTGAGGCCTATAACCACGAATTTGTAATGATTTCTTGAGAAATATTATAAGGAAATCTTTCAGAATTTTCAAAAAAGTCATATTAATTTTGCTTTAAAAAGATTAAAAAAATAATAGTGCAAATAATACTTTCTTAACAAAAAAACATAATAGTTAAAAAAATTAAAAGTATTCTCAGAGTATTTACACAAATGTTAACTTTTGAGGACTTTCCGTGACAAAATATGTAAAATATCAATGCACATTACAAATGCAATTACAAGCT